ATGGATAAAGGAACACAGTATCCTTCCACAAACACACTGAATGTCGGTATAACTCTGCTGACAAGTATTGCATCACTGAGGTTTCACATGCCAAGAAAAACCCCTTCCTGTGTAAATGCAGGGGAAGCACTCTACAGCAACAGCGTAAAGCAAGAGCCATAAACACGTAAAACAACTTCCAAAAACAGCATCTCACATTAAACCTTCCCATAAAGAAGCCAAGACATTAACACTGACCCCTTTGAGTGTTTTTGACAGAGTTTTGACAACGGTTCAGTTGTAGTAACCCCTCCAGCACCCAGTGGAAACAATGTAACAGCATGTAAACAGTGACTTCCTCTTTTTCTCACTTTGTTCAGCTGCTACTGAAAATCATGAACGCGGCTAAGCTCACAATACCACGTACAGTAATTTTTTTTTTTTTTAAAAAGACCCACAACATTAAGTCGAGCAAGGTCACAATTTCGAAACTAAAAGACTGAAGTGAGTCGGGTTTCAGAATTACCCAACAATGCACACCACACATATCAGCTGACATCTTGAATTACTGAGGTACGCTTACCACCTGGATGAAAGCTTTTCCAGCAAACACAAGATGTGCCAGGTCCTTAAAAGGGAAACTAACAAGGGGACACTAAACGCATTAAGGCAGAGATGCGAAAACTAGCTTATCTGTAAGAATGAAAAAGAAGCTGTAAACTAGCTACATTGTTCAGCACTACCCAGGAAGAGCACAGTGCAGCAAAGCTAATGATGAACGCTTCACCTACCACAATCACGCTCTTTCTCCACGTAACGGAGAGCACGCGGGAAAAAAGGAAAGGAAAGAAAATAAATATAAAAATGTTAACTCCTCATTTTGTGACAATAGTGGCGGAGACGCCGCTGATGCAGTCTGACAGTGTTTCTCATAATTTCCGCTTTCTTTCACTCTCTGCATGACAGCTCAACACGTCGTGCTGCCACTCGCGGCAACATCACAGCAACATCGACAGAGCTGAATATGATTCGTAACCGTGCCACAAGCAGTGGTCAGTACAGAGCATCCTTTCTGGACCAGTGTTCACAGCCTATCAATTCAACCCCCCCCCCTTTATTGGCATTTTCTACCCAGCTAAACGAAACGTTACTACCGTTAGGTACGCATTTAACGGACTTCGATGTTAACTGTTTATATGAGTAGTATTTTTCCAAATAGTGTGTATGTCAATATGACCTGCTGCAGACAGACAAGCAACTTAAAGTGGGAAAACTGTGTATTAAAGCAATTATCTATGGCAATTATATATTTAGAAGCTTTTGTTTTGTTTCCGTTATTTCCCCAGCACATTTTCATAATCAAATCTATATTACAGATGGCTACTACAACATGGAAGCATAATTTTACATGTACGTATGATCCCCTAAATAGAAGATGACCTAATATTGCTACACCCAAATTATAAAACAGACGTTTCTTGTTAAACCTACAGTAATAAAAGCTAAGCAAAGACGTTTTCGCAGACGACTATTAAAGAACTTCATTTAGTGTCGTTGTGTGTCTAAAACAATACAACTCGAGAGCTTTGGTCTCATAGGCAGGCCCAAGCAGCGGTAACTATGCAAAATATTGTTTTCAGAAGAGCTAAAACATACAGTAATGCTCATACACGCTAGCGTTAGCCCGCTAGCTTTTGTTGACTGTTTTACCTTCCGTTGATGTCAACGGGGAGCGTCACATCGTCCCCCACGACGGAATCCATAATTGTGGTTCACTTATTGTTTGTTCTCGCCAAAGCAATATATCATTTTACCGACTGGACGCAGCGTAAAGTTCAAAAAGCGGGACGGAATTCAAAATAGCCCAGGCTACCGCCATCACGATATGGTAAACGTCACCATTGTGCACGTTGGAAACTGGTGCTGCCTTTAGGCGCTGTAGGAAATATTTGAAACTAAACCTAGCCTGTGATACACCGAAATGATTAGTATTATGATGTAAAGTTACAACAAGCCAGACTGAGTTTTCTTCTTATTTTAAGCTCCATGTTAACATTAGTTCAAAATACAGTTAGGTTCAAGATAATTATTGTTAATGACCTCAAAGTGGGGATATTTTTTCGAGCAGGTCGAAAGGCAGCATGGAGCTGGGTGGATATAGAGACAAAGCGATTGGCCAAAGCAAACACCGTGGGAAGGTTCATAAAGGCTCAAAAATACACACGCTGTCAGCTTGGATGTTTTTTTTTTTTCAACTGTCATTCAGCCAAAGGTATATTTCTGTGCTCGACAACTCCATTGTTGGAAAAGACGACTTTTTAATTATAGTACCCAATAATCCGTATCCTGTTGACTTAGTATTGATCCAAAACTTCCACTTTTGGATCATTACCAAGATCGATCCAAAAGAGAAAGCGCCAGCATTGATCTAAAACTGTAAGTTTGGATCAATGTTGGCGCTTTCTCTTCCCGAGAGCGCATTAAGACTAAACTAATTTTACTAAACTCCAAAAGGAAATGAACCAGATGACAGATTTGTGTGTTTTTCCGCATATTTACTAGGATGGTAAAAACATCCTTTAGGATGATTTATATGTGTGTGTGGTGAGTGGGACGCCGGGTGTGTTGCTTGATGCCGCAGCATAATTAACATTTGCTCCACTAAGTGGGCTAATTACAACATTTAGTTAAACGACCTTACAGTAATGGCTCCAGTCTCTGTTTTATCGTCCATGCAAGTTCTGAAAAACATCTATGCCCTCCCTTGTGTAAACGTCTCCTGCACATGAAATAAATCAGAGAACAATAGCGACAACATGTGGTGTAATTCAAAACTTCAGGCTGTATTCATCATCATCATCATCATCATCATCATCATCATCATTATTATTATTATTATTATTATTATTATTATTATTATTATTATTATTATAGCTCAATCTCTAAAGGCTTTCAGTTCTTTCCGTGTCATT